TGAATATAATATACAAGTTTCACTTTTTAAATGGAATTACTGAAATAAATCTACTTTTTCATGATATTCTAATTTTATGACCAGCACCTGTACTGACAGATTATGCAGATGACATGAGATTGGGAGTACTTTTTATTTACTTATTTAATTTGATCACTTTTTAATTTTTTTGTCTTTCTTGCCTGCTTTCCCTCTCCTTTTTTAGACTTTGTACATTTGCTTTTACAGAAGGTAAAACTGGCTGAAGCAAGGATAATTGTCAAAAAATCCGTTGTATTTTATATAGCTTGATCATTTGATAACATTTCTAGATACCACTGAACAACTAACATAAAAGGTCAACATGAGCTAATGAATGACTAAAACCAGTGTCCTGCCTCAGAAACCTCACCTGTTAGCAGCATCAGGACTGCAGCTCTCAGGATCAGAACACACCTCAGAGCCATGATGAATCCAAACTCCAAGACCAGTTTTTTTTAGTCTCCTCAGTCCCTGGATATCAGCAACATTTTGATCCCAGTCTTCTGTCCAAAACCAGTGATTCAGTTGCAATAGATTAAGCATAAGTCAGGGAGAAAGTGTGTGAAAACTCCCCCCTCATTTTCCACTCCCTGCAGTCGCTATGTGTCATCTGAGCCCCTGGTCCCGCTGCTGCACCCAGAGGGGACAAAACAAAGTCAGGCTCCAAAATTAGTGCCAGTTGTTCTGAAACCGGAGAGTCAACAACCTTGGACTTACAGTTCCAATTCATTTTAATGACTTGTAGGAGTGAGATCTGATTTTTTTAAACATTAAATTTCCCCTAAAGCACCCTTTTGCCTTGACTTCCAGAAGGAAAACTAAAGTTAAATGTGAGACCTCATGAACTGTTTAAGTTCCCAAATTTAAAAGCATTTAAAGGAATTTACTGCAAAGCAATGAAAACCGATCACACGGAAAGTTTAGTCATTGACAGTTAATATTAGGGGTCGACCGATACATCGGCCGGCCGATATTTTTGGCCGATATTCACGTTTTTCCTTTGTATCGGTATCGGCCGATACGCGCCTGCTCCGGCCGATAC